GGTGGACAGCCCTGCTCGCCAATGGTTCCTCTGCAGTGCTGACCGCGGTGGCTCAGCTGATGGCTCCTGGTCCCATACAGCATCCAGTAAACAGTCACTGAGCACCTACTGCGTATCGGGCACTGCGGCAGATGAAAACAAAAGATTACAGCCATCCTGGCTCTGGGCACAATGCACACAGGAAAGCCATGCAGGTGTACATGGATGTGTATGTGTGTTTAGATATTTGTATGCACACACCTCTGTATCTGTGTGCATGGACACACATTTGTGTATGTACACCTATGTGCGTGCGTGTGTGTGTGTGTGTGTGTGTGTGTGTGTGGCCAGAGCAGAGTGATTCTGGAGGAGGGGTTGGGTGTGACTCGAAGGACAACGGAATGTGTTTACATCAGGCTTGGTGGTCACTTCAGCAAGGAACAAGTGTGACATGATTTCTTAAACACCCCTCCCCCACCCTCCCACTGGCTGTGGCAGAGCCCGGGTGGTAGGTAGAACGCTATTGTCTTACCATACAATTCTAAGTCATAGCCGTGGAAGTGGAATCAGGAAGCCACTCGGCTGGGCTTGCCTGACAATCAGGTGGCCTCCATTTCTCACTCTGAGTGCTTGTTCTCCAGGAGTCTCCATTGCTTGGAGTGCCTGCAGTACCCGCCTCTTTTCAAACCAGTCCTCTGCCTATATCCGGTTCTTCTCAACAGATGGCCTCACAGGCTGGTGTGTGGCAGGCTTATCCACAGCAGGACCGGCTGAGACTGCAGAGCTGGTGGCCGGGTGACATTCTCCTAGCTCATTTTGATGTCCCGAAGCCTTTAATATCTGGCTTGAGTGCCTGGGAGTTCTCTGCCTATCCGTTCAGATTCTGTCTGTGGCGTCACTCCGTCCTCTATGCCCACCACCGGTAGAAGGGGTTGTTTCCTGTATATGTAAAACATCCCGTTTTCCAGATTTGCGTAAGGTCCTTGCCTCAGCCCTAACTGCAGCCTTTCTGTACATTCCTCTTAGTTTGAAACCAGAAGTCTTTTCACCGCTACAACGAAATACCAAAGGTTTATTAGCTCGCAGTCTGGAGGGTCAAGATCCCGATGAAGGCGCCATGATGGACCGCAGTTTGGAATGGGAGGAGCATGAGTTAGAGCAAGTGCCATGCTGGTTACTTCTCTAGGGAACAGAGCGTGGGGGCATGAGGCTTGTTCCTATCACAGCAACTCGCGTGAAACCGTCAAGGGTTGCAGGAGCTCAGCCTAATGCTGCCAGTGACCCGAGGACCTCCCAGCAGTCACAGTGGGCCTTTGAGGGCCTCTCGGGCCTCACCCTTGCCAGTGAGGCCACCCAGGCCCCTCCGGTCTGGGCCACCCTAAATACATGTGGACACTGCAGAGCCATAGGCAATGTCTTGGGCTGTGGTGGTTCTGGGTACTCTCCTGTCCCTCTCAGCACTAACCATGATGGCCTTTGCCATATCTGCTCAGAGGCTTCTGGGAATCAGTGCTTTGTGTGTGTGTGGTGTGTGTGTGTGTGTGTGTGTGTGTGTGTGTGTGTGTGTATGTTTCCCCCCCTGAGTCAGAGATTCTAAAATGTGTACCTAAGCATCTCCTCAGAAAGGTGAAATGCAAGCTTCCAGCTTCATGGAGCAGAGTCTTGGGGCAGAGCACAGGCCCAGCCATCCTATAAATGGTGAGTTCCATGCCAGGCCTCTGCTGGAGGAGTAGGGACTGGCCAGCTCGGGAATGGGAAGATAATGCTTAAGCTTGATAGCTGCCCTTGGTCTCCACTGGGTTGGCACAGGGCACAGAGGGTTCTGTGCCCTGGGAGCTGGGACCAAGGTAAAGACGTGGGATGTCGGGATCTTAGCTAGGCATTTGATACGGGCCTGACAGCCTAGGTCCATAGTGTGCACAGGTAGGCATGTGGCCTCCAGGCATCCAGTTACCAGGTGTGCAACCCCCTAGCACGCAGCTCTCCAGGTATACAGCCCCTGTGGAGGCCTAGGAACCCCTCCTCTCCATCTGGGGAGCTAAGGAGACAGTGATCCCACAAGATATCTGCTAACCAGAAAAGGGGCGGCATTGTCTGAGTCTTAACGCAGTTCTGCAATTGCTTGATTATTTTTAACTAAATATAGGAAGAAAAGGAATATGACCCGACAGCTCTTGGCCCTTCACTGGCACTTGGTACTTGAAAAGAGCCCCAGACATAAAGCCAGAAGCATTACCCAGAGCTTAGTATATCTCACTGTCCCAGCTAGCAGAAGCTCCCTTCGCAGAAAACCAAGAGGGCGTTGTGGGCTCCTGACAGCGCCACCGAATGCTGGGATTCTCCTCACAGGCAGCCTGGTTGACCCCTGGGATGGAGGGTAGCCAGGTGTGGGATAGACGGCCTGTACCACTCAGCAGGACTATGACCCTGGAGCCTGTCTGCAGCCATGTGCGTGAGCAGCAGAGGAAAGCCAGCTGGGCACCACAGCTTTGCCAGTCCAGCCTGGGCAAGCACTGGTCTCTGAAGAGCTCTGCTGTCAGACATGAGCCTCCAACCTTGCACAGCTCCAGAGACGCCGGGTCCAGAAGCTGCTGCCCCCATAGTGCAGCCCTTTCTGACACCCTCTCAGCTTAGCCCACTTGTGGCCAGAGCGCTGTGGAGGATTCTCATCTGGGCCTTGACTCTTTCCTTCGCCAAGACAAAGTGTTACCACCTGCGGGGGATCTCTGGTTACAGAGGAATCTGAGAATCCCAGGGAAGTCTGAGTGTGCCCAGAGACCCCAAAAGAAAAGCCAAGTCTCTCTTCAGAGCTGCCTCTCACGTGGGGGCCCGGAGGTTTCTGTCCTGGTGTGTGTGTGAATTTCCTTCCCTTGGATGACTAGCAGGGCAAGGCACATGGTCACCTCCAGGGGTCACATGACTCATCATATTCCACAGGTGTTCTCTAGGCGCTAGCACATGGGGCTTTGCATAGCATGAGTCACTGAAAGTCAAATCCCTGAGGTCCTGGTGCCCTCACGGGCTAGATCCTGGGGCTCTGTCTCAGGGAGGGAACTGTGAGTGACAAAGATGGAATGGCCTGAGTCCTGGTAGCTTGGGCGCGGTTGGGAGGACACTGGCGGGGCCTGGCCTCAGTCCCTGGATTGGTGATTCTTGAGTCCACTCTTAGGTTCTATTCCCAGGGGCCTCAGAAGAAACATTTTCTGAGCTGAGGCCACTCTGTACCTGGGTAACCAGACATAATAGATAGAAATATACCCAGTTAACTGGAATCTCCAGTAAGAACACTGTAGCTTATGTCTCATGAAAGGGCCACTTGTCCATCTGATGGGATTTCTGCAATGTCTCTTCTCTAGGTGAGGTCCACTGAATGTCCATGTCTCAGCTAAAAATGCACAGGAGATATCAAGGTGCCCAGAAAACAGAGCGAGGCATCCAGACATGGTCAGAAAAACCTGCTGTGAGCTTGGCCAGCTCCTCAGTGGGGCATCCAGACATGGTCAGAAAAAGCTGCTGTGAACGTGGCCAGCTCCTCAGTGGGGCATGCAGGGGTCATCAGGTGTGAAGTCTGGCGAGAAGCAGTATTCAGACTCCACTGTGAGAACCAGGCAGGGATCTGAACCTGATGCAGGAGCCAATATGAGCAGCAGCCTGCCTTGCTGAGACAGGAGTCGTGAAGTCTTCTGCAGAAAGGAGAATCAAGGCACAGAAAAACCCAGCATGTCGTTTGGGGTCACACAGTCAGTGGGTGGGGCTGCCGTGTGTTCAAAGGGCAAGGCCGTGATCAGAGAAGCCAAGGTTTCACTGCTCAGCTGATGGAAGCCAGCAGGTTCCAGGGAGGAAAGTCAGGCTGGCTCACCAGGGCATCGGCCTATGCACAGAGCCTCCCTGCCTTCATCACTCATAATCCTGCTAGAGGGATGGCCTTGGGAGCCCTGCTGGTCATGCAGGTTGAGCTGGAATGCCAGGGGGGCTGTGTGTATGTGCACATGTGTGTGTGTGTGTCTGTGTCTGTGTGTTGGTGTGACTGCATGGCTCTGTGTGACAGTGTGGTACCTTTCGTCTTCCTGAGGACCCATCACTTCTCTGGACAGGAATTATGAGAGTCTGAACTCCAGCCCCAAGGGTTATGGGCTTAGATCCTGTGACCTGCATGTATGGTTTGATAAGAAGGAAAGTGGAGTGACCTTTCAAAATGAGGCTCATGGGCTAGGGAGGCAGTGCTTGCCGTGAAAGCAAGAGGACATGAGATGGATCCCCGATACCCAGGCAAAGAGCCAGACACTTGTAATCTCAATACTAGGGAAAGAGAGGCAGGCAGATCCCCCAACCAGAGAACCTAGTTGGCTTTGTGAGCTCCTAGCCAGTGAGAGACCTTGTCTCAAAAACCAAAGTGGATGGTGCGTGAGGAGGGGCAATGGAGGTTGTCCTCTGACCTCTGTATGCATGCATACACACACACACCTCCTCTCTGGCTGCCCCCCAACACACAGTGATGGTGTGAGACCCAAAACAGCACGTTGGTTGCATTTTCTCCGCAGCTGTGAGGGGCTTGGCTATGAGTTGCGATAGAGGCCCTGCAACCTTCATTTCCCTGGAGTTGGGTTGTTAGCAGTGCAGGCATTCTGTGTGTGCATGTCTCTCAGCTCATGTTGCATGTACTTGTATCTACAGAGTACACATGGTTGCAGACCTCATACCTTACTGATAGCAGTGTGTGGCCACCCTGTGCCCAACCCCAAGGCTCACAGATGTGGCCCGATTCATTCAGGAAGTGGGGAAGGTCCAGAGGTCTGGGACAAAGCCTGTCTCCTAGGGGCCAGGAGACAGGAGCCTGCACCACTGTTGCTTTGCTCCTGGTCACAAAGGCAATAGGGGTGTTTCCTGGGAAGTGTTGTGTGCCCAACCAATTTCTGGGACAGCCTATTGCTATGGTAACCTACATCAAAGATGGGCAGGCTGACCTGCCAAATCATAGACACCATAGAAATAAATAAAACGCCACACAAAAATAATTGCTTTAAATATTAAAATATATTATGTACATAACCATACCAAAACATGGAAGCACACTGCCTGCGGAATCTGCGTGGCACCACAGATGGGATCTCACCCTCTCTGCAGTTTGCTTGGACATGAGTCACATGATCAGGTACAAATCTGATTCCATAAACACTGTTCAGTCCAGACATAATGATTCAAGTTGCTCCTGCCCAGCCAGAGGCCGCCAGGCTTCGAGGACAGGCAGTAAGAGCAGATTCAAGCAAATGTTAGGTGGCTGGTTCCAGTGGATGGAGCCGCCCAGGGCACTGCTGCCCTGTGTCGGGCAGGAAGTCAGGACCCATGACATCCACGAAATGTAGTGATACCTCCAAGATTGCGGGGCTCAGGGACGTGTCTGGTTCATACGTGACACACTCCTCCCTCCTCAGTGTCTCAGAGGCCGCTCGGTCACAGTACAGGGCAGGGCGAGGCCCCAGAATACAGTGTGAAGTTTTGCAAGGTCCTCAGTGTTGCCCCCCCCCCATGAGGATGGGGTTAGGGTCTCCAGGAAGAGCCCTCTGGAAACGTAGAAGGGCCCGTGGTTGTCAGACATTGCTCTGGAGCTGTTCTGTGGGGTTGTCGGAGGCTGAGGACTGGCTGGGCAGGGAGGCCTCCAGGGCACCCGAGGACACCGACGGGGACTTGTACAGGAAGTAGGCGGTGACAAAGAAGAGGAAACCCAACACCTGGGGAGACAGGAGGAGATGTTGGCCCTCGCCAGCCTGGGGGCTCCGTGCCCAGCCTGAGGCTGCTTTTGTAGAACTCGCTCTGCTCTTCTGGAAGAAAGACACGCCTTTCCTGCATAACTAGTCCCTCATGGGGAACCGGTGTGTCAGTTCGGGAATGAAAACTACCGTTTGGTTAAACGCAGAGGCCAACAGAAGGTGGAAGGACCTGGCACTGTCCCCTTAAAGACACGCACTTGCTCTGTCCCTGCAAACTGAAGGGCTGCTCATCCTCGGAGGGGGGACGGACCTGGATTTAGGGTGGTTATAAGCCCATAGCTGCGCCTTTGTACAGGATAAGGCAGGAGGCTAAAGAGAGGGCGGAAGCAGAGTGCAGCCAGACCCCAGAAGGCCATCTCACCTTGAATGTGAGCCCTGCAATGAGCATGTAGCGGCTCATGGCTTCATTCTGGTATACAAAGCAGGAGCCCTGGTGCCCACACTGGTTCTGCCACAGCAGGCAGGCCTTGTCAATCACCCAGCCGAAGGCAATGGGCCCCGGAATACTGCCTGCCAGAGAGAGTTCGGTTAGGGCCCTGATGGGAGAAGGAAAGGAGGGCACAGGGAGAGACCATTGCAAGGCCATATTGTCCATTCATGTGCTCGGGGGTAGAAAGGGGACTTCACTCCTTTTTCTGAAGAGTTGGCATTGGGTAAGGAGTGCCATGGTTCCTCAAAAGGGCCCTTTTGTGTTGAGGCAAGGCCACCTACTGGGTAAATAAATGACAATGGGTCCCTCTAGTGGGCATTTAGGGGAAAGGCCCATCTTAGTGAGAAACATGGCTGAACGCCTCCATAGTAACACACAGCTTGGTGATAGGACACCTCTAGGTGCCTTATTTATGATCACCTGTCCATGGCTTCCTCACCCCCCAAAGTACCTAGTGTTCTCACGACAATCCACTGGATCCCCAGGGCGAAGGATCTTTGCTGATCACAAACACACCTGCAAGGAAAATCGCATCGTCAGAGCCCATGGGAAGCTGGCTGCGCACCTCAGACCCCTCTGCCAGCAAGAGTCCTGGCCGCATCACCACCTCCCTAGGTGCCAAACACCTCGTTGGGTACCAGAGACAGTCAACTCCGATGCCCCTAGACCGAGGCCCATTTCCTGGGCCTGCGGGTACCCCAGGGCCCACCAGCATCTGCAGAGCGCCACCTGCTGGTACTACGAGAGAAAAACATGGTGAGAGCTTCTTACCGTAGCGTGGCGGTCAGAGCTGGAATGCTGCTGAGGAAGGTAAAGATAATTACAACGAACACGAGAGCCAGAAGGAGGGGCTTTCTCTGACAGGTGGAAGTGCACTTCCCTGCGGTAGCATTGCCCAAGCCAGAGGAAACCTTCTCAAGGACACAGCTACAGCCTCGGAATATCTGGGGAGCCCAACAACAACGCTGATCATATAAGGAAGGCAGATGCTTCCCGGTCCCGGCCAGAGCAGGGCAGTGGGCGGTGACCACACTCACCTTCTGGCCATCCGGGCCCGTCTCAGCACCCGCGGGGCAGCCCGCAAAGCAGGCGGAGTAGTACATGATGCCATCTGAGCCACACAGGGGGCTGTAGTGCTCCGGCTGGCAACAGTAGATGGCGTTGCAAGCCGCCCTCAGGTCCAAGCGGCCTTCAGGCAGGAGACTGCAGAAATGGGCCGTTGGATGTGTGTTAGCAGCCGTGCAGACATTCTGCCTGCAGGTTGCTGTGACCAATGCCTCCCTCCCAGGGACAGCCCTCAGGAAGGTGGGGTCTTTCCCAGGCTCACCTCCCATTGTAGCTAGCGGTCACACCTGCCATGGGCATGTTGGGACAGTGCATGAGGAAGACAAAGAAGGCCAGTAGGCTGGTCAAGGTGCAGAACAGACAGAATCTGATGATCCCAGAGCCACGGAGCTTGAACCTGTTCACCAGGAAGCCACCCAGGAGCGTGCCGCCACCGCCTGCTGGCACCACCAGGTATCCTGAGGAAGGAACTCGGTAAGGGCCCAGAAACTCTAGGCCTGTCATTGCTGCGGCACTACTGTGGACACTGAGGAACCGGGAGAATGAGCACCATGGGTGCTTAGGGAGAGCCGTGGGTGTAGGGTGGGTTCTCTCAGGCCACCTGGAAGCCCAGATCTCAATGACTAAGGTCCATAGTGGGTATACAAGGGGCAGGGGAGGGTGTGTCGGCACGGGAAAGTGGTAAGAGAGAGAGGGAGCCATCAGGTATGGATGTCTGGGCCAGGTAAGGATGTGTCCGGGAAAAGTGGGGTCACAAATGATACCTTCTCACGACCCAGACAATGAGATCTGCAGGGTGGGCTGTAGCTGATGCTTTCCATCCACACTGGTCAGTACCTTAGGCTGAGCCCAGCGCTGACCTCCACCCACACTGGTCAGTACTTAGGCTGAGCCCAGCGCTGACCTCCACCCACACTGGTCAGTACCTAGGCTGAGCCCAGCGCTGACCAGTGCATGGGGCAAAAGTGTGATCAGCAAGGCTGCAGCCCTGCCCTCCGCACAGGGAGGACGTGGGTGCTGGTTGAGTGAGGGTTCTAGATAGTGTCCACTCTTGCAGTCCATGCAAGGTCAGACTGCCACAGAATCCTGTCAGGTAGGTACAGGGATTCAAACTTAGACCCCAAGACTCCGGGGCACCAGCTGCATGGCTCATGGGGACATCCGGGCTCAGACCATTTCTGCAGTGAATGGTGGTAACGTGTGTAGGAGTCGGCCCTGCCCTCCCCCCGGGAGCATTGTCCACTTGGAATTTGAAGACTATGACTAGCGTGTGCAGGAGTCATAGCCCTCTCCACAGTATACGTCAATGCTCAGTCTCCTTACCAAACAACGTGGCGGCTTCGGAAGCACTCAAGCTGAACTGGGCTTCAAAGAACTTGGGGCCGAACGTGGACATGCCAGCGATGAGCGTGGCTTCGGTGGCCCCTGCCAGGCAGAGCAGGATGAAGGTGGGATTTCTTAGGAGGAGCCAGATGGAGCTGGGTGAAAGGGGAACAGAGGGCAGAAAAAGACAGAGGGTCAGGATGAGCCAGAGTTTGTGTGCCAGGAACCTGCCGTTCCTGAAGCTATCGATACAAAGGGCCTTGGTTTTAAGAAGGCAGTGAAGTGGTGCCCGTAGCTATCCCAGGGACACACCTGGAGCGGGCGAAAGGCCGGGCTTGGCAGGTAGTGAACCACTGTAAGCCTTTGGTACACCTGTCCTCAATGCTAAAACCAGTTCCAGAGACCAGTCACAGCTGTGGCTGAGCTCCAGTTTCTGTGTAGGGACAAGGAGACAGACCCCAAGTGAATGAAGGCAGTAATCACCCCTGGTAGCCATTGTGACAAAGTAGCAGAGGCTCTGGGGGAGGGTGACCACCAAGGCTGGACAAGGGGTGGGGGCCACCAAGGGCTAAGAGGTCACCAAGGTATAGGGATCTGGAAGGCAAAGGAGTTACCAAGAGAGGTTCAAGCTCCCAACCACAAACTCCGGGGAGAAGAGGCAGGCATATGTATTTGGAAACAAGGACCTTCAAGGAGTGAGTCCCTAGTGGGTTTGGCTAGCTCCCCTTCTCTTGGTTATAGGACACCAGGATTGACAGTAGGATTGGCGGTCAGATGCAGCCTGCTAATCCCACGGCGACTTTGGCCCGGGGTCCTGAGACTCTAAGGGCCCAGCACTGCAGCCCCTGGGTTCCCTCCAGCTGCTGTCCTTGCTGGGACGTGAAAGGCATCAGCCACACCTGCAGCCACACAGCTGCGAAGGTGCCTGACTTGCCTTCCCAGGACCACATGGCAGAGCAGCCAGGGTGTGGCAGCACAGACCCTGGCCAAAAGAGACCACTCATCCGAGCAGTGATTCTAAAGGCCCTGCCTACCTGCTGGCTGGGAGTCAGCTCCCCTGGGTGAGGGCTATGTGCTGACTGTGGCATCGAACAGAAGACTGGTTGGTGTGAAACACTACAGAGCCCCTGGGAACGAAGCCTGGGGACCCAGGTGGCCATCATGCAAGCAATTACAGGGTCCCACGGTCACCTATCTCAGGCACAGGTCACACAGAAGCAGGGTATTCCCTGAAGTCAGCTCATGGTGCAGTAGCTACACCGTCTTCTGCAGTAAAGCTGCTTCTAGAAGCCTGGCTCTTAGGGAGAGGATGGACATCACTGCTTGCTTGCTATATCTGTCCTGCTCCTTTTATTTACCAAGGCTTGGCGAGCTGGTACCTGCTCCCTGCCTCCCGCACACGTCGCTGCCCCCATGAGAGCCACTCTCTCTGACAGATCCAAACCTAAGAGATAACAGTCCTGGACATCAGCCAGGGAGCTGCACACAGCTTCATACTCAAGCTCCGCATGGGGAGGATCTGAAGAGAAGCCAGGATCAGCTCAGCCCTGGTCAGCAGGCTCCCTGAGGGAGTGCATACCCACTGCTTCCTAGACACCGACCGGAGCATTGGGAGATCAGACTGGCCCCAGGGAGACGCTCAGAGGATTCCTTCTAAAGTAGAGCGCACCCAACTCTTTTAAATTTTACTTCTTAACTTGAAGGTTGAAAGGGCTTTCCAGGCATTTGCCCAACTCTGTGTCCTGACAAAGGAAAGCAGGTGTGGAGGAACCCTGGCCCCATCAGGGACTTACAGGCTCAGGGTGCTGACTCCTCCCGGCCCCTTCCCACCTGGGGTATATCTGGTGTTGGAGAGCCATGCACAGGCTGGTCCGTTCCAAAGGTATTGCCTGGACCTGCTTAGCTTCAGGCTGTTGGCTGAGGATAAGGGTGGCTCTGTCATGCAGAACATGTTACACAAGGTGTCTAATCCCACCGCCGGCTGGTTGGCTGAGATTCTGGAGTTTGCCCTGAGAACTGGTCATGCCTTTCATGACTGTTGAAGGAGGCACATGTTCCTGTGCTTGTTAGTTCCAGCACCTGGCTTCAGACACTAACCCTGGGCATGAAACTCTTACTGTATAGTACTTGGTAAGAGACCCATGGGGAAAGCTGGGCAAAGCTCATGCCATATTATGTTTCCCCAGACAGCTCTGCTATTGGGGTGAGGAGAAGCTAATTTTAAGACCATGGTTAGCAGGCCTTCAGCCAGTCCAGTCATGCCTGGGGCTCAGCAGATGTGGGAGGTGATGTATGCTGTGAATATGTTTTATTACCATTGGTAATAAAGAAGCTGCCTTCGGCCAGTAGCTTAACAGAGTAAAGCCAGACTGTAAGAGATATATACAGAGAGTAGGCAGAGTCAGAGAGAAGCTATGTAGGCCTGCCCGAGACATGTCTGACACAGGAGGGAACTTTACCTGGTACCACAGCCACGTGGTGATACACAGATTAGTAGAAATGGGTTAATTTAAGATATAAGAGTTAGCCAGAAATGCTTAAGCTATTGGCCAAATAGCATTGCAATTAATATAGTTTCTGTGTGATTATTTGGGTCTGAGCGGCTGGGAAACAAACAAGTGGCCTCTGACAACAAATTGGCACCAACGTGTGCTAGCTAAATCCACGTAAAACCTGAGAGAGCTTGGAAAGAAATTCTAGGCACACAAAAAAACGAAGTTTAGCCACTTTTTTTCCTGGATGGGCTCTGTTTGCTGGTGGCATGCCATAGCTCCTTTAAAAGAAGTCTTCCTGATTCAGTGGTAGCAGAAAAAAAAAAAACATGGTTTCAGAACAGCGGCTTCCTGGGCCATGCTGCCAACACATACTCTGGCTCTTTCAGGAGGCCAAGCACTTGAATGGGGTTTGTGAGCAGCGTGATGCAAGTTACTCAGTGGCAGCATGGGCCAACTGTTTGGCAGAGTTGTGGTGGTGAGCGTGGCTCCCACCCTGCAGTCTCAGAGGTAGTGGACAGGCCTCTGCCATGTTGGACTAGGCAGAGCCAACAGCCAAGACCATGGAGGTGGTCCTAGCCATGCCTGCTTAGCAATAAAAAAGGAACTTCTGATCAGAAAATAATTACAGATACACAATAAAGATAGATTCAGATAAAAAGTTCTCTAAATGGATCACAGAGTTGGATAAATGTAGGTAGGCTTGGGAGAGAGAAGAAAACAAGTATAGAGAGTTATAAAAAGAAGCAAATCATTTTAAACCAAAATATTTAAAGAGACAGATTACAGACCGTCATAGATTAAAGAAGTAAAGGAAAATAAGCCATGTAAAGATGAAATATACACAGAGCATCTGGATTATGTATACTATTGTGTTTTCTTTTATTTTTTGACTGTGAATGAGCACACAGAGACATTTCATTATATGGGCTGCTAAGCTAAACCAACATATATATTTTAAAGGTATCTTGACTTTAAAATTTGGGTCTAAGGACTTGATGCTTTAGAAAAGAGGTTCTTCTTTTGTTTCCACAGAGGATGAGAATCTGTGGAATTCTTCTAGACTAATGTGGTTTGATGGACCAAGACCTCCCCCCCCCCCCCCCCCGCAAAGGTCATTGTGAACATCCCTCAAAATTACTTCACCCAACAAAAAGCAGGAAGCAGTTTGGAGAGAACTATGGCCAAATTCCCGATTATTGTTTACATTTAAAGGGGGATATGCTATAGAGATTTGCTTTGGTATGGATATTGGTTTATTGGTACAAATTTAATATATATACATATATATTTCTTCTCTTGATTAAGGTATTGTGTTTGAACAGTTCAATTAAAAATGTAATGTATAATTAAGAAATACAGGTTAATAGATAGCCATCTATAATAGTCAAGTTTGTAGTCGTGTTAGTTAGGTTTTCTAGATATATAGAGATATATTTCAGTTAGAGAGGTATCTTCAAATCTTTCAGAGACCTTCAGAATATGGCATTTAAAATGTTTTAAGAACTTAGACTTTTCATGTCAATGAGACACATCTGCTCCTGGCAGCACCAAGCTGCTTCAAGAGAATAATGGGCATCAAAGAAACTTATTACGGAATTGGTTAGACATTTGGGCAAGAAACTGTTCTTGCCTGGAATGTTTGATGCTGTGCTGTATGAACTGGACATGCAGGACCTACAGAAAAATGACTGAAGTTGCCTAAAGAAGGTGAGACAGTCCTTCAGGGTTCCTGCTTCGTGAAAGAGTCTGCCAGACATTCTGAAGGACACAGAAGAAAGTAACTGATGGACTTTGACATTACAAGGCCAAACAGATCTTCAAATTTCCTGCTTCATGGAAATGTCTTCCAGCAACTATGGGCCTGTAGGCTGAAGATGGATGCTCCAATGATACAGAAGAACCTTGGGTGACTGTCCAGGCAGCGAGATGTCTCTGTCAATTCTAGAGTTTTGTAAGTTGCTAACAATGCACTTCCTGCTAACTTAGGTAATATTATATCCTTGTGAATTCTTTGGTGGGATTGAAGAATAGATAGTTATAGTTTTCGTTAGTTATGATAAAAGATAAAGTAGATATAAATGTTGTAACTATAATTCTTACTTGATACCTGTTTTCCTATATGTAATCTTGCTATGTTAAAGTTAAAACTTTCCTTTTTATTTAGACAGGAAAGGGGAGGTGACGTATGCTGTGAATATGTTTTATTGCCATTGGCTAATTAAGAAGCTTCTTTCAGCAATAGCTTATCAGAGTAAAGCCAGGCTGAAAGAGATATATACAGAGAATAAGCAGAGTCAGAGAGAAGCTATGTAGGCCTGCCTGAGACACGCCAGACACAGGAGGAAACTTTACGCAGTAAGCCACAGCCACATGGTGATACAAAGGTTAATAGAAATGGGTTAATTTAAGATATAAGAGTTAGCCAGAGGGGCTGGAGAGATGGCTCAGAGGGTAAGAGCATTGCCTGCTCTTCCAAAGGCCCTGAGTTCAATTCCCAGCCACCACATGGTGGCTCACAACCATCTGTAATGAGGTCTGGTGCCCTCTTCTGGCCTGCAGGCATACATGCAGAATATTGTATACATAATAAATAAATAAAAATATTTAAAAAAAAAAGAGTTAGCCAGAAATATGTTTAAGCTATTGACCAAACAGCATTGCAATTAACATAGTTTCTGTGTGATTATTTGAGTCTGAGTGGCTGGGAAATGAACAAGCAGCCTTTGACAACACTCAGGCCTCTTAAGTTGGCGGCCCCTGGCTCTCCTAGGTGAGCAGTAATAAAATCAAAGCCTGTGAGGCCTTGCACCACCACCTTCTCCAGCCTCACCTTGTTCCTCTGGGATCTCTGGGGGGAGGGTACCCTTGCCCTCCCCGTGTTATAACAGGCTGTGAAACTCAGCCCCGCCCATAATAGCCCTCAGCTCCCAAGTGGTAGATCAGGACATATGAATCCGCATCATTCTCTAAGACCCCAGTAGTTCAGAGACTGTACCTTGCTTGATACATACAGAGAGCAGAGCTGGGTCAGACAGACAGACAGACAGGAAAGGTGGATAGAGTGAAGAGAGAAAGCCTGGAAAAGACCACCCCAGGGGAGGGAGGGACTGGTCAGTGAGAGAGGCAGGAGTTGGGAGAGGCCTCTGCACCTGTGGTTCTCTGTCCTGTGTCTGGTTCAGAAGTGCAGATCCTTGAAGCTTCTGGTAGTGAACACATAGGTGATACCCAGTGAAAAGGCAAGAGTGGCCAACTCTGCCTGAGGGACTTTTTGGGGAGGGCCTCAGAGGCCTCACACACGCGCACACACATACACACACGCACACTCCTTACAGGGGCAGGTCTCTGACAGTCTTGCCGAAAGCCGGGTTGCTCACTGCTCTGTGGCCATGGTCTTTCAGCTGCTGGGTCTCAGTTGTTCTCATAACGACGTAGCGCTGGGAGCCTGCAGGGACAGAGTCGGTAGACTACAGCTTCTAGAGGACATCGCGTATTCCATGGAGGCTGCCCCCACACTGGCTCCTCCACCCCCCTCAGGACCTGAGAACATGGCATGCGGACACATATGCAGCATTGCAATCTAAGGCCTGAAGGCAAGGTTGTCACGGGACAGGATTGCAGATATGAGAGTAGAGGGCCCTGTGGGCCCAGTAGAAGGGAAGCGAGGGGGTCATTTCTGGAGGAGACACAGGAGGGGGTAATGGGCTGGTTTTGCCAACCTTGCTCTCCACATAGAGGGGAGACCGTGTTCATAGATTCCACTCCCCCTTAGTGGAAATGATGGGGATAAGAGGACAGGACAGGACAGAATACATACCCTGCCTCCTGGTTGGGACCCGTGTACCAGGGCGGAGAGCTCACCTGGCAGCTGCCGGGGATAGCCCCTCCTGGTTGGGACCCGTGTACCAGGGCGGAGAGCTCACCTGGCAGCTGCCGGGGATAGCCCCTCCTGGTTGGGACCCATGTACCAGGGATGAGAGCTCACCTGGCAGCTGCCGGGGATAGCCCCTCCTGGTTGGACCCGTGTACCAGGGCGGAGAGCTCACCTGGCAGCTGCCGGGGATAGCCAAGAATGGGGATGGCGATGAGGAAGGCAATGATCCCGGCTCCCACGAAGCCAATCCACCAGGCGCCAACCCACAGAGGGCTGTCAGTGGTCAGCTCCGTCCTGTTGGGAGAAGCAGTGATCCTTGGATTACTGACTGGTCACCCATGCCCTTTCCAGCACATGCATGGGGTACTCACTCCCCCTAGGATCTCTGTGCAGAGGGCAACAGAGGCCCATGGAGCTACAGTCCTGTGTTCACCTCTCCCTCAGACTGGAGAGGCCCTCTGATAATGGCCACTCACTAAGAGAGCAGCTCCTCAGATCCTGACTCCTGAACCTAGGGAAGCTGCATCTGGGCCTCAAACTGAGACCCTGGGGGCAAGGCCATTGGGGACAGGAGCTTCAAGTAACAGCTGGTGTCCCTCCCCAGCCAGCTGTCATCCTCAGGGCCACAGAGCTCAGGGGACAGAGGGCTCAGCTGGAGTTCACTGAGCTACCCACACAGGAACCATTAGGCGTCCAACTGCCATCTGCATAGGAGGAGAGGGGGGGGGGCTCTCAAATTGAACAGAAAAAGTGATGGGAAGGGAGCAACTGGCCAGTGGGCTTTCATACCTGGGAAGGGAAGGGTGCAGGGGGAGCAGGGGTGGAGGGATGGCAGGCTCAGGGGCAGAGGAAGGATGGATGAAGGACTAGGCAGCAAGGCCAGGGCAGCAGTGTAAACCCCTATGCGCTGGTATAACAGGAAGCTGCCCCGATGCCTGGCTCATGCTCCCACCCCCATGTGCAGAGCGACTCAGAACCCAGAGCCCACGGGGCACGAGACATCCAGATCTGGGGACACGAGCCTTGACCTACCTCAGGCTCTGCACAGAACACGCACCCTTGACCCCACAGAATCAACCCAGGGCTAGAGGCAGCATTGTGAGGGGGCAGAGCACTAGAAACCTCGCTGGCGCCATCTGCAGAGAAAGTCCCAAGGTGGAGTGGTGCCCAAGACCCAGCACAGCCACCAGGAAAACTCAGCAAGAGCTGCCCTTCCGTGACAGGACCCAGGGCCAGGCCATCTGCACAGCCCTGCTGAACGGTAGCCAGCAGGGCCACCCCAGGCTCCCCGCTCTGCCTCCCTCCACCCCTCTCACTCCTCACGCTCCCGTTTATGTTTACAAAAATTAGATACTGAAGATATAGACACAGTGCCTGTCACTTTAAGAGAAGAGCCAGGGCTTCAGAATCATGTGAACTTGAACCCACCCCCCTCTATGTTTCCCACCTCTCAGGGTTATGTCCTCAAAGCCCCTGCATACCCCCAGCCCCTGTAGCCAAGATTAGCCCAGCTTTTCCCTGCTCTAGCCTCCTATTGTATATCAGACATCCTTTGGGGCCCACAGCATCCTGGGTGCTGAGGAAGGCAGGCGGATATACCCCGTTACTCACCGTTGGCTCAGGTCCGTGTAAATGTTTAGCATGGCTCCTCCAATCAGGTAGCCCGCCGCAGGTCCAAGGATGGCCGCCGTGTAAAAGATGGCTAGAAGGCCAAGGGAGTGTGCAGCCGTCACACACCACGTGGTGGGCCCTCCTAAGAGATGCCCCCACCATGCTCCTGTGTCTACAGCTCCACCGTGAACCCCTTTAGGTCAGAGTGCGTCTGTGCAGCCTGCGGCTGGGAATGACATTCAGCCATCGGCTCTTAAAACGTCCCCAGAAGTGCACTTTGGATGTCATTTGCGCTCATACGAAAGCAGATATACCATGACTCTGCTTTGCATGGTGAGGGAGGGCAGTGTTCATTAAGGAGGAACTGGAAAGGCGGGCATAAGTGGGCACAGCCAGAAGCGAGGGCTGTTTGCAGGAAAGAGCGGAGCCTGCAATGAATGCTGAGCTCCCTGTTGCATCTGCCCCCAACAGGAGCCTCAGCTGGGAGGGTATGAAACCCGAGGCCACTTGGGTAGACAGCGAGATTAGCTACATCACACCAATTGCCTTGAAGGTCACAGGCCACGATATAGAAACTATGAGCTGCGTTGTGGCTTTGCCTCAAAGTCTCAGCATTCCTGAATTCTCACCACTGATTTACCACCTAGGGAGCCGGGCTCAGAGTATACACAGAACACACAGGGAGCCAGGCTTGATTCCTGCCCACTTACCTTTGCACGGGACTCCTTCCAAACCACACAGAGGCTCAGTGCCAGCATGCCCTGCCCTAGCTCTGCCTGAGGACGTGGGGGTCCCTGAGCAGACCCTGCCTAGTGTGGGCCTGTGCCGAGATTCTGGCTTGAAGTCCCTGCAGGGCTTCTTAGAGAAGTCAGCATCTGTTCCCCCGTCTCATAAAACCCTGCTGGCTGTGCCACTTCAAGTTAGGGGCCCCTGGGTCATATGACCAAGGGAGGGGCATAAGATCACCTAGCCAGGCTCCGAGAAGGTATCCACTTCATTCCACCAATGTCACAATCTGGTCCCTTCCGCCTACCCGTCCTGATTCCTTGGAGAGCCCCACTCACCAATATAGATGGGCGAATAGTTTGACTTGACATTCTCATCCAGGTAGGTGACACCCAGTGTGTAGAGAGGGGTGGCGCCCACACCATGCAGTAGCTGGCCCAGCATGAAGACCAGCCGGTAGCTGGACAGGCCCGAGTCCATACACTCCACGTGACTCCCGTTGCCCAGACATGCCCCGGTCCCCACCTTCTCATCCATCTTCACCTCGTAGTGGCCAGCGGTGAAATGGGGCAGTGCAAATACTAGGGAGCCGATGCCCAGGACCAGCACGCCCCAGCCCAGCCAGCGTGGCTTGTGCCCCTGGCCCCCAAAGTAGCTGACGAAGGTGAGGCAGAGGCAGGCAGCGATGTCGTAGGAGCTGGCAATGAGCCCGCTCTGGTAGCTGTGCAAGTCGAAGCGCTGCTCGATGGAGGTGATGACGGTGTTGATAAAGCCGTTCACGATCATGCCCTGAAGGAAGGAGGCTGCACACAGGAAGAAGAGGAAGCCCTTGGGGGTGTTGAAGACCTGCAAGCACTGGGGGGTGAAGGCTCGCCAACCACACAGCGTGTTCTTTGGTCCTGCAGACTTGTACTTCACCTCACGGGCTATCTGGCTATTCCGCTTCTCAGCCTGGGGCTTGAACAGGAGTTGGCTGGAGGAGTCCAGGGGGCTGTGGGCAGAGCGCAAGGAGACTGGGGACGCCCTGCTGCTGGGTGGAGTGTCACAGCCGCCCTCTGTGGCAGAGGACGCACTGGCCAAGAGGTGCTTTGGGAGGGAAAGGAAATGCTTGTCCCCCATCCCGTGCTGGGGCATCTCCAGCCTGGTGCGGAGGGCTTTGGCAGCACGGCAGGTAGAAGCAGAAGAGGTGGCTGAGAGGGCGTCTCGCCGCTGGGTCTATTCTGTGAAGAGAATTTCTTGTTAGAAAACCTTTACCTGATCCCTCATCTGTCGAAATTCCTACATGAACATTCAGTGCCCACACAGTCCACCACTGGGATCATCCTCCTCTGACCCAGAGTGGCCTCTGGCCAGCCCTTCACTCATACGTCTTGCTCCTGACCACAGGCCTGCCGCTAGTGAGCTACACCTGCCCTGGTCCCAGGGACTGGATTCCAGCAGACTTTGAAGGTGTGGCCATGCCTGGAAATGCTGAAGGCAGAGCTATTAGATGGGGCCACCAAGCAGTGAGCAGAGCTGAGACACGGAGGAGGCCTGCAGTCACCCTGAGAGCCCTGACCAGCACTCAGAGGCTTTGCCTGCCTGAGCTGTCTTCCGCCGTAGGAGCAGAACTGCCTGCAGAGTCAGCCATCAGTAATTCAGACCTGAACCACACGGTTCTAGAGTCCATAGAGTACAACACAGCCGTCTTCTGGAGGACACTGTGACCCACCACTGGGCCCAGGCTGACTTTAACAAGCTGGCACTGCCAAGGAGCCAGGAGTTCTAATCTGCGGCTGTGAGCAGTAGAGATTCTTCCATAAACATTCCTAGTGTAGTCGGTGCCAGCGATCAGGCCTGGGGGGACTACTCATTGGGCCAACACTTTCTCCACAAGCTGGTGTCCCTGCCAGAGAAAGACGGAGAGCACCTGAGGCAGAGACGGTTCATGCCGTGGGAGTCAAACCTTCCTTGGGCAGCCAGTGTAGCCGGGCCCCACAGAGACAGCAGAGTAGCTTGTACATACGTGTGTGTCTATGCACATATGTGCACATTCATGTAGAGGCCAGAGGCCAACACGGGGTGTCTTTCTCCATTAATTTCTATTTTTTAAATTGCAATTATTTATTTATGGGGGGGTGCACACAGATTGCTTGTGGCAGTCACAGGACAGCTTGCTGAAGTCAGTTCTTCCTTCCAGTAAATATGTCCTAGAGATTGAATTCAGGTCATCAGACACGGTGGCAAGTGTCTCCACGGGATAAGCTATCTCACCGCCACATCTTTTATGACAGGAACTCTTGTGAAACCCGGAGCTCACTGATCTGGCTAAGCTAGTTGCCCAGCAAGTCCTAGAGATCTTTTTGTCCCTGTTTCCCTTGCTCTGAGATTAGAGATTACAGGTGTGTGTTGCCATGCTATCTTTTTACATATATCGTGGGGTTCTGACTCAGGCCCTCATGTTTGGGCACCGCACTCTTTACTGCCTGAGTCATCACTTTCTCAAACGGCAGCGGAACAGGACAGAGGAGGGACAAAGGGGAGCGGCGTAGGACTAGATGAGAACAGCCATACGGCACGCCAGCCTTGGAACTTGGGGCTGAAACAGAAAGCAACTCCTAGGGCACAGGGAGAGTCGGAGGGGAAAGACTCAAAGTTGCCAGACTCAAGGTCACCAGAGAGCTGTGTGTTTTAGCCTTTAATCCGGGCTGGCCTCGTGCCCACTTGGTCCCTCCACTGCCACCGGGGATACACAGGTGACAGGCAGATGGGTATACATAGGATGTAATGGAACCCAGATTGCAGCAGGCAGTAGAAAGCAGAGGGATTTCTTCCTTGAAAATGAAAGCCACCGCCGTAGTATTCTAGCCGTCGGTGTCCCGAAGCACCAGCGTCACCACGGTTTAACCCGCGCTGAGAACACTGGCAAATATTTGAAGCACAATCTAAAACCAGACTTATCTACATTCTACACTGAAATGAGCAGGTTGAAATCCTTCTTTAAACATTAACAAGGGACGCTCTGTTTGCTGCCTTTCCACTGTAGGGTGGCAGAGCGGATTAGACGTGTGGCTCATACCGGTCATACCAGCACATGGAGGGGGCTGGAGACAGAAGATCACAAGTTCAAGGCCAACCTCAGCTAGGGACTCTCACTCAACAAAAGGGCAGGGCTGCGAGGTGGTAAAGATGGCTCAGCAGTGAAGAGCGTTGCTTTCCTAGAGGACCCAGGTTCTGTTCCCAGCACCCATAGGTGTTGTACGACTGCCTATAACCTCAGCTCCAGGAGGTTCAATGCCCTTTTCTGGCCTCTATGGGCACTTGCACACAGAAGGTATATACTCACACAGCCGTGTGAATAAAAACTAAAGTTTAAAACAGGGCCAAACTTAGTTGGTAAAGTGTTTGTCTCGCAGGCCTGAGCACCTGAGTTCCAAGCTCCGGAACACATGATTTTTTTGTTTATTTGTTTGGTTTTGGTTTTTCGAGACAGGATTTCTCTGTGTGGCCCTAGCTGTTGTGGAAGTAGCTCTGTAAACCAGGCTGGCTTCAAACTTACAGAGATCCGCCTGCCTCTGCCCCCCAAGTGCTGGGATTAAAGGTGTGTGCCATACCTGACTTGCTTGTTTTTTAAAGCTGAATTTCACAGGGCAATGCTTGCAATCCCAGCAAGGAGGAGATGGAGAGAGGCGTATTCCTGGGGCTCACTGGCCAGTCAGTTTAGTCTACCTGCCAAATCAACGAGAGACCCTGCCTCAAAAGGCAAGATCTTCACATACATGTACACCATGTGGACCTGCACACACATGAACAACAGCACAAACTTACACCCCACCATCAGCACCAATAAAAGGGAAAGGTGTCATTGCACGCATATCAACCCTTGGGCCTCCATTGCCCACACCCACAGCTGCCATTCTGATGTCAGGAGGACCGTGCTGCTGAGCTGTCCCAGCCGCTAGCTTTCAAGTTTCTTCCTAGGACCTGCTAGATTCTGCTATGGCTGGAGCAGCCTCAGTGCCAGTCTGGCTAGACTGCAGGTGTCCCTGGATTTGTCACATGCCACAGTGAGCATGTCAGTGAGGGGTTTCTGGAGGAGTCACCATGGAGTCGATAGGCACCACCCTCTGGAGGGCCTGGCTGTGTGTGTAAGGGTGGAGTTCAAGGGAACCTGGCACCCCAGATTTCTGTCCTCACAATCTTGGTACATGTTTAGCTTCGTAATCTCATGAGCCAGTCCCTAATAGTAAATCCCCTTATATTTCTCGTTGCCTGTCCTTCTCTGGAGAACGCTTTGTTACTGATACTGCTCTGCTATGGGTGGGATCTCTGCTAGGCACCAGGGTTCAGGGATCCACCCCCAGGACACCGTCCCCATCACAAGGATCCCACAGCAACCGTACATGAACAGTCCTTAGGAGCTCCTCGCAACCGTGTGTAGCTGCAGATCAGCAGGATCCAGGCTCCTATGGGACGAAACACACGGAGCTAGGACTTGCTCACCCGTTGCTGTAAGCAAGGGAAGAGGATTTCACAGAACATCCAACACCCCTGTGTCCATGACAAATGTGGGGGGCCTGGTTATCCTGGACATATCCCCACCAGCTCCAATTATATGGGAGGCAGGTCCAGCACTACTTCAGAAGTACCCTGTACTCCTGACAGCTATCCTGTGACAGAGTCCTTTCTCACACTGAGACTCCCACCATGTGACTACCCCCACCACCACCACTAAATAGTTGTTGGTGGGGGGCACTGCCTGCGTGCCAGCCCCACCCCTGCACCTGCTTCCACTTCTAGCTGCTGTGTATGGGGGAAGAAAAAGATCTAAGGCTCGGAGGAACTCTCTTAGTCGGAGAAGGTTTTGCTGAGCCACCACTGCTCAGGTGGGGAGGAGCAGGCTCTTTCACACAGCCCACTCTCCAGCAAGCAGACTTTGCCTGTGCTGTGTCTCAGGCTGCCAGGCTGGCTCCACCCAGACTGCCCTGCAGCCCAGCCGTGTGGGATTAGGCCAAACGGATTAGCCCAGGATGATGAAGCCCTGGGGCTCCTGCTGTCAGCTGACAACTCCACACCTGAGCACTGCGGGAGGGCAGGCATGTGCACAGGTGTAGGTGATACGTGTGAACAATCTTAGGAGGCCACAGATGACCAAGATTCCCTTGCGAGGCCCCCACGCTGTCTTCAGGGCTGCAAGGGCAGCATCTCACTGATGATGTCTTTAGTTCTGAAGGAATCCAGTCGTGGCCTCCTCCTCTCAGTGGTCAGAGGCAGCCCCATCTGTGAGAAAAGGCCTGGTTTGTATGGCTGCATGCTATGTTCCCCCTGCTTGCTTATTTCCTCTGCCATCCATTTTCTACACTCCCAGCTGGAGCCATCCCACGGGCCTCAGCTCACACTGCAATTTGGAAGACAGGATTTCAGAATGGTTCTCTGCCCCAGGTCCCTGCACCTGGGTTTCTGCAGGCCGTCCCTAGGACATCCTAAAGCCCCAAAGCTGGGGTGTCAAGCATTACTCTCTCCTTGCTTTGGAGACACCTTTGAGACCCAAATCCTAGACCCTCCTTAGACCTTGGCAGTCAGCAGACCCGATTCATTTCTCTTCCCTTCTGCCTTCTTCTCTCTTCTTCTTTCTCCTCTGCCCTCAACCCCAACACCCCTCATGAAGCTCCAGTCAGAAAGAGAAGATTACAAAGGCAGGTATCTATTTATTGCACTGAACTGCTCTGGGGCCACCAAACCTTTCACCTGGGCACTCCTGCTGACACCACAGCCTGGTCAGCTGCCACCCCTCTGTGACCTTGGGACTCTTCTCTGTCCCCTAATTTCTCCTGGGTATCTCCTTTTATACACAGTGTGGTGTGTTTTCTCTTCAGAATGAGGCTCAGGCAATGGGGACAGGATATGGGCCAGCTATCAAAGCACCTAATTTGCACACCTGGTAGCCACATGCAGGTAAAAGATCAGGAACCAGCTGCTTTTCACAGAAGCTGCCGTGGACTAATTAACAGGGAGCCTGAGTACAAGACACCAGCACGGGTCCAGAATGACCCGTCCCACACAGAAGGTCTGCAGTCTCAACCTAGGTAGGTTTTCCCACCCTGTCTATATCCGGGGTTCCTGGAGCATGCAGAGGACCCTGCCAGGCGCCATGCTACAAAGAGGAATGGAAGCCTTGCTAATCAAGGTGTATTTGAGAAGCAGAGGCCAAGGCAGACAAGTGCTCCCCACTTTGGCAAGTCAGAAGCCTCTCTGGTTTGCAGTTTCCTCCTGCAATGTGGTGTGAGGTAAAGGATACAGCCCTCTGCACAAATGGGCCAAGCTGCCACTAGGCTCATGGAAAACAGATCTACAGTGCCCAACTTCTGAGGCACAGTTACTCCCGGACTCCAAGAAGGTCCACATGCCTCATTTATTATCCCTCAGCTCACCTGACACTTGAAGACAGAAGTAGCTTGCTTTGCCTCTGCCGCGTGGCTGTCTATGGGTGTGATGGTCAGAACCAGCGTTTTACTGCAACGGGGGACCCTGAGGCTGCTCTCATGGCTCCCACGGCTCTTCTACATTCTGGTGGGGGGGACGACAGCGAGGGGCTCTGGTGATAACCTTTGTGATTTTCAGGTTCGTCTTAGATTCAGAAGGGGGCAGCTCTAGCTAGATAAGGGACCTTCCTGGCTGAGCCAGCCACTGCCTCCGGGTGGCCTCTTAGGGTGCAAATTTACTCGCAGGGTATCCTGGTCAAAAGGACCCCAAGTACAAAACTCAAGGGTCCCAAGCATGTCTGGGTGGGGTGGAAAGCACCATCCTCGCATAATCCTACGTGTTCTCTGTGTTTTGGGTCTGAAGGGGCAATGCCCAAAGCATGCCCCAAAGCTTGCAGGCTTAAAAGTTAGTTACAAGGCAAAGGCAAAGACAGGTGCAAGGAAGGAAAGCTTGAATAGCACCTGGGTGTGGAGGAAGAGGCATGTTGGAGGTCCCTCAGCTTCCATGGTTTTGGGTATCTGGTGCCAAGGGGAGCCCTGACGATGGCAGTAAGTAAACCTCACCCTACCCACGGCCCCCAGTTTCTGATCCACATGTGAGTACTTGGGGTGGGGGGGTTGAGACAGGGTTTTCTGTGTAATAGGTTCTCCTGGAACTCACTTTGTAGACCAGGCTGGCCTCGGAACTCACAGAGATCCACCTGCCTCTGCCTCCTGAGTGCTATGTGCCACCATGGCCCGGCTGTGAGTAGCTTTATAAAAGGCATGAGGTTTGAGAAAGCACCACTCTCATCTACAGATGTGGTCCAGGATTCTAATTCTTTTTTGTTTGTTTTTTGTATTTTTCAAGACAGGGTCTCACTATGTAGCTCTGACTATCCTAGAATTCACTATGTAGACCAGGCTGGCCTTGAACTCACAGAGCTTTGACTGCCTCTGCCACCTGAGTGCTGGGATTAAAGGTGTGAGCCATGAAACTCAGTTGATTCTAATTCTTTGTAATGCTAACAAAAATGAGGTCATGATACCTGTCCACGGGGTGTTGGGGAAAATCATAGGGCCCCCATCTGACAGCAGCAGGTTTGGAGGCTGATCAAGGGAAGCAGAGGGGAGGAAGAGCCCAAACCTCCCTGGTCTAGCTGTTGCCTCTGCAGTGACCCACAAGATGATGCAACCCAGGTCCAGCATGGTGGCCCATTTCCCCTACTCCAGCAAGGCTTCCAGGCTTCACTGGTCATACAGAACTCTGGCCGCCTGTCACATGGGGACACAATCTCTGAGGACTTGTCCAATTACTCACAGTGACTGAGAACTAGGGGTGTACCTCCCTGTCCCTCATGTTCATCAAGACCTCACCGAGGCCAGACTTCCACCAGAATCCCAGAACAAGTTTGATGTTGAGCTTCTGAGAACTAACCCACACTCTCTTCCAGCCGTCATGGGGATCAGGAAGGAAGTACTTGGTCTCTGTACTTCAGAAGCTATTGACCGTATCTCCAGAGGAAGCAGGGGTGTCCCCTCCTTTCTGTCAAAAAGCCAGACTTAGCATTGGCCCTTCTGTGTCTCAAATGCTTCATCCTGAAATGGACCCACCAGGGAAAGTTTAGGAGCTCAACCCGTTCCAGTTTAGGTATAAATTCACACAGTGTAGTAGTCCCCACGTGGGAAATACGTTAAGCCAGGCGACTTCTGTAAGACTCACAGTTACAACACGCGGTCCCAAACTTCAGTTACCAGTGGATTGAGAAAACGTGCGTGTCTGGAAGGCAGGCAGGCATCAGCGAGTTCCTCATACCAGGGGCTGTAACGGGCATCAGGTCCTGGGCCCATTCACAAGTCTGTCCTGCCCCTCTCTTTGCCCAGTCACAAGCCTTTCTCTTGCCTGCCTGGCCCCTCTGCAGTACCGGGGAAGGTTCTGGTTGGGACTTGTCCACATCTGCTTCAGAGGCCACACCCAATGAACCACAATTAGATCATCCAGGAAGAATTTTCCAGGCAGTACCTGGTGGCCTTTCCTAGTGGGCAGGCAAATCAAGGTGGCCCAACCAAGAGAGTCCCTCGGTCTTACACATGGTCTGTGCTCTTTGCAGCACAAGGTACCCGTTCTCCTTCGGTTCTTGATACAGCGCTGTTCCGGTAACTGTTTCTCTGGCCCGCTTTCCTCTCTTCTTGAGAAGAGAGTGGCTGACCAAGAGTACAAATCTCCAGCATCTCCCATATCACTCTAGGCACTCCAACATCCTGGTCCTCAGCCTGCTCCTCGGTGCCAGGGGACTTTTAAAAAGCTGACCCGGACTGCTCTCGTCCAAAGCCTCCAGCCAGTAAATGCGAGGCTCAGCAAACAGCCTCTGCTGTCCCCATTACCACAGCTATGATTTATAAATAATTCTGCTAAACCCCAGGTACTCCCTCCCCCGCCGTCCACCTGCCCCAGCCGCCTAACGGCAGTTGACTAGACAGCTGAGTTGGTTTTTACTAAACTAGAAAAACCACTGCCCTAAAACAGATGGAGAACTGGTTCCATTACGAGTAAACCACCGTGGTTTCAGCGCCTCTAGACAGAAATACCCATGGCCTTGTCTCATCACGCTAATCTCAGGCCACTGAGCCTGGGGGGCCAGCAAGCTGCCGGGTGCAACTGTGTGCCTCTATCTCACACTTCCGTACATCTGCGGATGCTGACCTCTCACCGTGAAGGAGGTACACTGCCCTCGGGGTCCGGGGTTTGAAGCCAAGCTGCCAAAGAGGCACCAAACGCGGCCCGAATCCTCGCTGGCGTTCACCTGCGCTTAGAGACGCGCGTGAGAGGCGTGGATGGTGCCGGGCCACAGGGACCCAGTCATCCGCGCTCCTAGGAGGAACAAAGCCTGTCGCACGTGAGCAACTTTTGTGCTTCACGTTTTCCTCTGACTTAGCAACCGTCGCCGCTGCAGGTGAACCTGTTCCTGGGGCTTGTGACCGTGTATGATTGCGGCCCCTTATTCGGGCCGGCAACCCGAGCGGCTCCCCACGTGCAGTCCTGTGCCCCAACCCTCTCCCATCTTCCCTCTCGCTCTGGCGCAGCGGCTCTGCCTCCCCCCCCCCCCTTTTCCTGCAGACTCACAGCTCCCTCGCGGGCAGCTGGCAGCAAGGAGTGGATTCTGCATCCGGCTCCCTCGGTCACGCCCTGTACCCACAGAAGGGCCCCAGGATGTCTCTCCAGTGCCCGGGCCTGCTTACCGCCAGACATCGCACCACGCGCCAACCCGGCCTCCGCAAACACCTGCCGCGCTGCTGACGTCAGCAGGTCGGGGTCGGGGTCTGGCACCTCTGAGAGGCGTCCCGCAACGGCGACAGACCCTGTCCGCATCCTGGTCCGAGTCCCTAACGCAGTCCATGTCCCATAGCACTCACCTTCCCGCGAACCCGGCTGCCGCTCTGCGCCCTGCGCTCTGGCCTTCGCGCCCAGCCCACTCAAGCTTCATTCATCGCCCAAGCCTCCCCCTCCCCCTCCCCCCCCCCCGCGGGGGCGGCTTTGCCACCGCCAATGGCAGCGCGGTTCGGGCGGGGCAGAGCCCGAGGTGACAGTGGCAGGAGCGCGCCAGGGCGGAGCCGAACCAAGGGGCGGGACCTGGGGCGGGTCAGGGACCAGACAGGGCTCCAACCGCTCGGAGTTTTACCTGCGGAGATTTGGCGGTGTCAGGCTAGGAAGATAGGGCTCAGGCCTTGCTGCGTTGTAGGTTCCACCTGCTTCGGGGTTCGCGCTCTAGCGTAGAGCCGAGGCCGTGGAGGGCACGCGTGGCCATCAGCTCGCTCAGGCGTGGGCACAGCAGCAGCCTCGCAAACCCCCCCCCCCCAAAAAAAAACCCCAACCAGGCCAACCAATGAATGCTCCCCCCGAGGGTTCAGGGCAACTAGGCGCTGGATTAAGCTGCACCCTCACTTAGAAAGCCCATAGGTGGGTTCCTGACCCCGGGGCCTCTTCCCAGAACTACCCTTGATTTTGAAGATATCGCTGATGTGAGATGGAGTCACCTTCAGACTGACGTGTTCTCTGTTGTCGATCTTGAATATTTTTCTGAACCCTTCTGGGCCAGTTCCTGCATCAGTAAAATTAAGTTCATATCTGCAAGCCCATACAGAGAAACCCTGCCTTGAAAAAAAACAAAGAAAACAACAACAAAGTGATTATAACACTTCACTGAAGAAAGTGGAAAACAGAGGGTAAAATGAGTCCCGCTGAGTTTGGCCAAGGAACAGCTGCCAGTCTCTGACTATCACGGTTGAATCAACAGCTGATGGCAGAAACTCCACAAATCTCTCCCTTTGGGGTTTAGTACAATTAATTGAAAAGACATAGGTGCCAGGCATGGTGGTACACACAGATAATCCCATCCCTAGGGAGGCTGATGCAGGAGGTTCTCTATTGGGAGGCCAACCTGGGCTACTTAATGAGAGTCTGTCTGAATTAAAAAACAAAGCAAAAAATATAAAAATAAAACAAAACCTTCCCCTGTCCCCAATCTGAATTGGGGAAATGAAGGCAAAAAAAAACAAACAAACAAAAAAAAAAAAAAAAAAAAAAAAAAAAAACCAGCTTGTGGCCAGGTTGGGCTACACAGCAGGTTTGTCTCTAAAAAATAAAAAAACAAAAAAGTTTTCAAAAGCCAACTCTGGGAGGACCAGGCACAAGGGTAAACCAGTGACAGAGACCCATAACCCCAGCTCCCATGAAGCCTCAGGGGCTAAGACAGACCTCTTCCTTTGTATGTAGAGAAGGGACTGGCTGCTAGGCTTAGGTCTTCATGTCATACTCAGTAATGAAAGTGTCTTCCTTGCTATAGTGGGTGTGTGATGGGTACCTGAAGCACAAATTAATAAAAACTCAGAGATAGAAATTGGGGTCCAGGGCTGGAGAGATGGCTCAGTAGTTAAGAGCATTGCCTGCTCTTCCCAAGGTCCTGAGTTCAATTCCCAGCAACCACATGGTGGCTCACAACCATCTGTAATGAGGTCTGGTGCCCTCTTCTGGCCTGCAGACACACACACAGACAGAATATTGTATACATAATGAATAAATAAATAAATAAATATTAAAAAAAAAAAGAAAAAGAAATTGGGGTTTAGCCTGATGAACCAAAAAGTAAAGCAACCAGCCACTGGCTCTTACCTCTACCTCAGTCCGAAAATGGTGATCCTGCCTCCAGGAATCTCAGGATGAGACTGTGTCTGAGAGCTGTCTCCTCCTGTTTTATAATCCTCTCTAGTTCTGGGATTAAAGGCATGCTCCACTACTGCCTGGTTTCTGTGGCAAATTAGTGTGGCTACTGGGACTAAAGGTGTGTGTTATTGCTGCCTGGTCTGTAAGGCTCCAGTGTGCCTGTTTTACTTTTCTGATCCTCAGGCAAGCTTTATTTATTAAAATACAAATGCAACGCCACAACATGTACCTGCTCACATTATGTCCTGGGAGCCTCTGGTGATGTCTTCAGGCTCCAGGGTCTACTTGACAGCTTATGAGTCTCTATTCAAGAAAACTGAGTTTCAGTTCAGTGGCCCCAGGTATTGGCCTCCATATCGGACACTTCTGGTCAGAGAAGATCCCTAGGAAGAATAGATACTGTGGCACTGTGTGGCACACCTCTCCTTGCTGGAGCAAATAGAGCTCCCTCTCTGAAGACACCTCTGCCAGGTCTGAAGCCAGAGAGAACCGGCGGGAGAGGTTGTGAGGTCCTTCCCCACTTCAGGACATGTGAACAGGGGAACTCAGGAAGGCGATCCAAATGTCAGGAGCAGGCTTGGACACTGTGCTTCCAAGACTTAATTTGGGGTTCATCTCTGAAACCAATATTGGTATAATATGTTTCCTTTAGTCATCTGGTGTGTTTTATGAAAAGGGTAAGTTTGTTTTAAAGAAGGTAATCAGTGTTGGTTTCTATAGAGAGGTCACGCAAAAATAGATAAAATGTAACAGGGCCAAATAGAACTGCTTGCTAAGGGTCTGAACTTTAAGCCAGCTTTAGGCTCAAACAGGCATTCTTAGCCTTCTTCAGACACCATCTAAAGATGATTCCAGGGTAAACATTCAGGTTTTAATGGAAGACACAGGCCCTGTCCTGCCCTCAGAGGCCAAGCCAGGTATGGAGGCCCTCAGGGGCCCTCAAGGTACTTGTGTGTCTGAAGACCTTAGCTCCTTAGGCTGTGCCTGGCTTCTTGGAGCACTTGGTATTTCCTGTGATTAAGGACTAGGAAGTCTTAGAGGTTGATCAGATTTAGATCTCTATCCAGGTGTCCAGGTTCCTGTCACCAGCAGAAAAAGAATTCAGACACCAAACTAAACCAAGGAATTGAGAGAAAGTTTGTTACAGAGAAAATTCAGGCTTCTTGCGAAAGGTGCATCAGTCAGAAGCCTAGAGTCTCAGGGGCAAAATGTAATGAAGGGGAAAATTACTCATGAGTTAAGGTGGGGGAGATGTGGGGAATTCCAGAAACGAGTTGAAATTTCAACATTCTTGTCTTTGTATGGGGTCTTGAATGTAGCGTGGCTTCAGCTGAATGACGAGAATGGACATTTTTGCTAGGTATCTTAATCGGTACCTAGGGCTGAGGACATCCACTCCTTTCATCTCTCAGTCAGCTGTATTTGGCCTAGGCAGCTTTGGGGGTCTTGGGCCTTGACTGTCTGAGACTGCAGCTGGCCTTTGCTTGTGGTACAGCCTGCATCTCTGGAACCGTCTGTGCCTTTCTAACCTTTCTCAAAAGGGACAGAGACCTGGCACTGGGGGTCCCGTGGTTCCTTCTTTCAAAGGGCTGCTTTCTCCTTCATCTTGCCAGGGAGGAGTTGGGAGGTCCAGGACAGAGCCCCCACGAGGTCAACCCCAGGGTACCACAGCATCTTGGAACAAGGACTGGCACATTGTGAGCCGTGGAACATTCTGCATTCAGTAAGCTCTATCCCAGCAGGGTTTTTGGAGAGGAAATAACTTAAAGGAAAATGATCCAAGTAACCCAAGTCCTTTTGGACATCCATGGTCCTGAAGCCAGGCATTGCTGTGTGCTCAGGGGTCTCGGGGAGACTCCAAACAGA